TCATGAGAGATTCAGCTAAAGGCTTGTCACTTGTCAGCAAACGATTACCTGGCATTTAGTGGTACAGAATCTGAGGAGTTCTTTATCTTAACATTTGAGCTAGAATTTCAAATAATCATTTCCCTAATTCACTTTTTCCCTTGCCCCTCCTGCTGAGTTCAGAATCATGCTAAGCCACTTTTTAACCACAATTTGATTAAACCATAATTGGCTGGATTTGCACACTGTATTAAGCTGAAGTTCAGTAAACCACATTATGGCACAGAGTGATGGGTACAGCCTTCCCCAGTGTTTAGAAGATAAGGAATGCAAGGCAGGGTGAGGGGCAACGACCATGAATGCAGGACTGTTTTTTCAGCACATGATGATAATGACAGCTGCTGACTTCTAACTCTGGGAGAGCAGAGCAGGATAATCTTTATTGTATTGGTTTTGGTGTAGAGAATAGACTGCTAACCTCTCTTGCAAGAGAAAAAGTAAAGTCTTGTCCACCGGGCAAGTTAAGTGAGCCTGGAAAATCCCACACTCCTTTTCTGTCCCACTTATAAGGAAGAGGCAGGAGAGAATGCAACATCTCTCTGCACTTGGGTGGAATTCCCACTGTACAGCTTCACGCGTCCTATGATGCAACAGTGAAGTCAGCCGGAGACAGTGCCATGTCCCTTTCACTGGAAAGTTTCGCTGTGCGGCTGGGATTGTCCAGAACTTCATTGGAAGATGTGCATCTTCATTTCTCATTTCTTTTGTATCGATTCAATTTTGCACTGGAGCAACGTGCTTTAAAGTGTTTTGCAGCTCGCTGAGACATTGGGGCTGTTGCTATATTTTGTAGAAGCCTGTGTCCTGGAGATATGGACATACAGTTTGAGCTGATCCAAAACTTTGTCTGGAGCATCCATGTACAAGCATCTTATTAACACATTAGTTATTATTGGCATATGCTCAAGTGTTTTACAATCAGTGAAAACATTATAGTGAATGTTATGGTATGCAAACTTGCAGAGAACTCACTGCTGGAAGTTTGGATGCGTGGTTTTGTATGGCCCAAGTCCAATCACCAAGAGCATACCTTCAGTTCCTTTTTCATTTGAATTAATGGAGTATTCTTGGCATAGGAGCAATATCCTTGTTTCCTAGGGAAGCATTGGGGCCAAGTACAGTGCTGTTTCATAAGGCTATTCTTTGTCAGATGTAAATTATGTAAAACTCTTATTTTTGTGGGCAAAATATCTGTTACTCATTTATACACTTGTGAATGTAGCCTGCATTACAAACTGCACTCAGGTGCACAGTCCTATCTCTGTAAATGAGAGATGGCTCCTTGTGATATTGTTCCAGCTCCTCCCTCTGCTGGATATCAAAATGTTTTTTCTTTGTTAGACAGGGGGAGAAGCTTCTGATTAATGTTGGGAACTTGTGCTAGGGTTTTGATTTCAAATGTATGTGACATGCTAAGTCTCATTTTCTTTCTGACTCTGTAGAAGTTATGGAACTAGATGTTTAATGTTAGCCTTAAATCATACTTCAGGCTATGTTCATGAAATTGTAATTTTTTGTTAAAGAATGTTCTTGTGTTCTGTGATATTTTGAACTCTCTTCTTTGGAGATTTTGGGCAGAGGGTTTCTTGCTTCAAGCAGACCAGCATCACCTTCTGGTCTGTTCAAAATACTGCATTTTCTTTAGGATTTTCTTTCTTCTTTTTTAGGTAGTTTGCAAGCTGTTTTATTACTATGATCTGGGCAGTTCTCAAATTATCTTCTTTCACACTGCATTCTAATGCTTAGAACCAAAAAGGATACAGTATTTTATTTTTTATTTTTTTTAAAAAAAAAGTTTGGTCTTATTTATTTCCCGTGAGATTGATATATTTCCCACGTAGGGAAAGCACTATCAATATTATATCAAGTTTTGCATGTTAAACTTTCAGTCACCTGAAAAGCAGCACAGAGTGTGAGAGCCTAGTTTCTTTTATACCCTGTGGTTAGGGGGCTGATACCAGTTGAGGCACTTATCTCTGAGGGATAAGTGGTGGCACCAGGCATTACCAAGGTGCTACTGCAAAGCAGGAGTCAAGACCAGGATGTGAAGATCCAGAGGACTTCTGGGAGAGGAGCCCAGCCTTCCATCTTGCAGGTCTCAACATCACTACTGTACATACATATTTGGCTGTTACTGGCATGCTGTTAATTGGCTTCTCAGCAGGTATCTGGCTACTTTTGTCAGAACTTGAAAGCTAAGCAGTGCTGGGTATTTGGATGGAAGGTTGCCATGAAATTCCAGGGCTGTATGCTAGATTAGGAAGTTGAAAAATACCCCAAAGAAGGCAGTATTGCATTGTGTTGTGTTGTGTTGTGTTGTATTGTTGCAAGACAATTGCATGGTTGTGATCATGGTTGACCAGGACTCAAACTCAACTCAAAGGCATCTTTAACTTTTTAATTATTGGTTTGTTTGACATTGTTGGAGGAAGGAAAACCTTACCAATTCATGGAGAACACTCTGTTGGAGGTATTGTAAATACAAAAATCACATTGGGTCCTGTATTCCCTCACTTTCCTGTTATTTCTCCTTGTGCCATAACATGGCTAGTCTATATCCATTGTAAACGAACTTAATACTACATGATTACTGCGACTCCACCAACTATTTCTATGTCTTGAGATATGAATATAGATAAAAATTGCCTTCAGCAAATTCTGGCTTCGTTGGAAATCTGTGATGGGAAAGTGCCTGGATTCAGGATCCCACAGCTATTCCATTGAGAAGTTTAAAGGAGAGATTTGAGCATCTTTGTCTTCACGTTTTGTTTGATCCTCACTTACTAGGAAGGGTGATCATTATCATGCAAACACAGAATAATGGGTTAGATATTCTGTGCCATCTTATAGAATAAATGTGGGTGTGTGTTTTGGAATAGCCAAAAGTGCATGGTGCAAGGTGCATCCTTGGTTCCTGTTTTATTTCCCTAAGGTTTGGCTTTTGTTGGCAAAGAGGTGCCAGCATTGACAGGTTCTTGTGATATCAACAGGCTCTTCTTGACCCCAAACCAAAGGGTGTTCTGTTGTGCTCACAGCTCTTTTTCCTATTTGTTTTGTGATAGAACTAGCCTGATACCTGGATATGGGGAAAGCATCTGTTTTACACTGAGCTAGTTATAGCAGGTTTTCATGTATTATTTCTTATGCTAATGTGTTCTCTGAATGAAAGGGTAGTGAACAGGTATTTTTCTCTTCCTTGACTGAGCTATTTCTAGCTATTTTTCTTTCCTCGAACTTAAAGAGCTGGATTTCTTTGATTTTAGCTTATGTCACCCACTGGATCGTTCTTCAGAACAGGACGGACTATTTCTTTTATGTTCTGCAGCACAATAAGTCGTCGTGTGGAAGGCGAGGTGAAAAAAGAATGACATGGACTAGTGTGCAGGTTGTGGTTTCATATGTATCCTGTGATGCTGTATAAGCTTCAGAGTAAAAATGGTTTTCAGAAGTGAGAATAAAATGCACCCTTCATGCCACAGGTTTAAATTTAGAAACTATCTAATGCATTGTATCTTTTATGTTTGAGCCTCTCTTGCTTTATAGTTTGAGGATGTTTTTTGTATGGAGCTATGTAGTATGTATCTTAGTCAGTGTGGATTTCCCAATTGCATTTAAAACTCATTTAAAGTTGGTGTCCAGCATTTTTATTTGATCCATTTGTTGCTTCCTTTTGTTTTATAATCGAGGTAGTTGAGGATTTGTTTGGTTTAATCTGGCCTGAAGCATCTGCCACCGTTGAATGCATTTGAATGCTGCTTGGCAAGAGCCAAGAAGTGAAATAAAAAGGTCTTTGTCCTAATTGCAGTTCATTACTATCAGTCACTGGTTTTATCCCAGCAAATATGATGAGTTTAGGATGGCCTGCACTAGTCCAACCTATCAATTTGGAGGAGCTTGACTTCATCTTTTTAACTGAAACAAATTACAATCAGGAGTTGTGTCTCACAAGAAAGCAGCCATATAAATCTTCTAAATAAAGAAATAAATATAATGATAACAGTGGAATAGAATGAGGCATAAAAATCAGGATAAAATTACAGCTATGAAATGTGTCCTTAAAACAGAAGATGAAACATTACCAGTAAAACCAGTGATTAAACAAATAACTCAGTAGCAAGATCACTTGAGCATTAAAAGCCTGGAAGAATAAAACAGGTTTCACCTGGCTCCTTCAGCACATTAAAAGCAGGCTTCAATCCAGCAGCTGGGGCAAAAAGCTATATGTACCTGCTTTGGACTGCAGGGACATCTGCAGAGAGGGCTCTGAAGATTATTTTACAGCTTGTAAGGTGGTTAGTACTTTCGGATGCATTTATGGAATGGCAGATTCATTTTATCGCAGGCATGAACAGAGCTAAGATTTGATTTGCTGAATTTTCTGCTACAATTTGGAATCAGAGTACTATTGTGTCTAAAAAATAAATCTTTTGAGTTATGTAATTTGGAATTTGTCAACTCAGGAGGATCACAAATTATCTATTTTGGGCTATAAAAATCAGACTCTAATAATAAAGTTCTCTTTCAGTCATCTGAGTTCTACTAGAGATTACATTACATCTTACTGAACTTGAATAATCTTAAAATTCTGGTTTGGGGATAGGGGGAGAAATCTTGTATGTAGTTACTGTTAGAATAATTCAGCTTTTGCTCACAAGATTTGGAAGAGTTGATGAAAGGGAATAGGAATCTACTATAAGCAACTCTAATGCTTTATACCATGAGTGGAATCATTATGGACCACCTAGCTCACCTTGATTCTACCTGACCCTTGCCATCATTCATTGAACTATAAATGTGGTCTGCAGTCACAGGGGCTGGGTTCATACACTGCCTTAAGTCACAAGCAAGCAAGGGGCATTAAGTTTAGAGTGATATGCAAACCCAACCAATTGTGGCTTATTTGTGATTTGCCAAAATAACACAATTCATTTTCTAATTAAAACATATTTTTAATTTTTTAGGGTCTGCTGCACAGAGGCACCTGCAGGGGGAGTTGGGGCACGTGATGCAAGCACTGTTGCAATGTAAGCTCTGCCACTTTCATACATGTGTTGTGACATCACATACAGTGGGGCAAAAAAATATTTAGTCAGCCACCAATTGTGCAAGTTCTCCCACTTAAAAAGATGAGAGAGGCCTGTAATTTTCATCATAGGTATACCTCAACTATGAGAGACAAAATGAGAAAAAAAAAAACCAGAAAATCATATTGACCAAATACTTATTTTCCACCATGATTCATCATAGGTATACCTCAACTATGAGAGACAAAATGAGAAAAAAAAAAACCAGAAAATCATATTGACCAAATACTTATTTTCCACCATGATTCATCATAGGTATACCTCAACTATGAGAGACAAAATGAGAAAAAAAAAAACCAGAAAATCATATTGACCAAATACTTATTTTCCACCATGATTCATCATAGGTATACCTCAACTATGAGAGACAAAATGAGAAAAAAAAAAACCAGAAAATCATATTGACCAAATACTTATTTTCCACCATGATTCATCATAGGTATACCTCAACTATGAGAGACAAAATGAGAAAAAAAAAAACCAGAAAATCATATTGACCAAATACTTATTTTCCACCATGATTCATCATAGGTATACCTCAACTATGAGAGACAAAATGAGAAAAAAAAAAACCAGAAAATCATATTGACCAAATACTTATTTTCCACCATGATTACAATATGATTTTCTGGTTTTTTTTTTTCTCATTTTGTCTCTCATAGTTGAGGTATACCTATGATGAAAATTACAGGCCTCTCTCATCTTTTTAAGTGGGAGAACTTGCACAATTGGTGGCTGACTAAATACTTTTTTGCCCCACTTTACATGTACAAAAGGGGTAGCATTTGCATTGTCATTTCATCATTTTGATGAAAGCATATCCTGCAGATGCCTCTGGTTCAATGCTATAAGTAGGAAATTAGATTGCACCAAACCTGAAAAAGAGGATAAAATGTGATCCCAGTCAGCTTCTGCAGTGTGAGGGCTTCCATCCGAGAAAGTGATATTGATTGATAGATTGATTGATTGTGGATAGATGGAATACTGATTCTTTCAACTGGTTGTGGGATTAGAAGAGACTGTGTGTCTAAGTTACACATCTTCTCTTTTGAAAAGAGCAATTAATTGATTTCTTAAATATTTGAGGAGCTTACCCAGCTCATATAATTCTGAGAAACCTGCAGGTTGTTGAGAATGACTGGGTCTTACCAGAAAAATACCATGAATCAGCCAAATCAATTATGAGAGTTGTAATACATAAGGTCCTGAATTTTTTACTTGATTCACAGATGGCACTAATATGGACACAGATAGGTATTCCTCATTTGATGACTCAACACTTTAGTTGATGACTACTTAGACAAATGCTCACTGTCTTGGTCTGTTCCTAGTAATCACTTGGGATTAGTTGTTCTTCCAGTGTCAGTCCTGTAGTATTTTTGATACAGTCCATCCATTCTGTCTGTTGTTTTCCCTTTCTTCTATTTCTATCAATCTTGCCAGGCATAGTCACTTTTTCTAATCCAGTCCTAGGATCCCTGGAGGTCCTCCAAATCCCTCTCAGGGGTCCGTGAAATCAAAATTATTTGCCAGCCTATGTTGAAAAATAATACAATATTAAAATCCCATCAAACAATCCAGGCATAGTCACTTTTTCTAATCCAGTCCTAGGATCCCTGGAGGTCCTCCAAATCCCTCTCAGGGGTCCGTGAAATCAAAATTATTTGCCAGCCTATGTTGAAAAATAATACAATATTAAAATCCCATCAAACAATCGCAAGAAGCAGTAGCGGCAGTGAATGCATCAATTTTAATTTTTAATGCAGTACATTTGATAAATATAACCCATACAAACAAAAGCTCTTTTGGGATCCTCCATAATTTTTAAAAATGGGAAGGGGTCCTGAGAGAGAAAAGTTTAAGAAACACTGTTCGAATCTAGTATCCACTTCCATCTCACGTGCAAAGTACTTGAGTTTCTACTTGCTGTTCTTGCTTCAAGGGAGCAATCAGTTTTTATTTGGTCTGGGACTGATTGGTTCTTCTTATAGTCCATCTCATTCTGAGTAAGCATATTCTAATCAATAATTTGAAGGCATCTGCCTTCTTTCTTGAGCTCTTTCCAAATGTCCAGCTTTCACAGCCATATGTGCCCCTGGAAAGACTATCGCTTTAACTCTTCTGATCTTTGTTGTCATAGAAATATCTTTATCTTTCATGATCTTGTCTAAGTGTGTCACGGCCTGCCTTCATGGGCATAATCTCCTCTTTACTCAGTCAGCCAATTATGTTGATAAATAAGGATTAGGGTCAGACATGTCACTGTTGATTCTAAGTTTATTGGGCAAATATACTTTAAAATCTTGCTGCCACCATCTCAAAATGCTAACCTCCATATAAGAATTCTAGTTCTCCACTCTTTCCTTTTTTTCTGATAGTATATCATCTTGGGCTCTCTCTCAAAGGAGCAGTTATGACAATTAAATTTTTTTATTTAACAACATACTGTGTGAACAGATAGCATACAATTGACATTGTTTCTTTTTAAAGATGTACACAATAAAATTGCTTTGTTACAAAATTATTATTTACTTTGTTATAAGGGCCACAGATATATATTTTTTCATTTTATATACATAATTGATCTCTTCTTTGTTTCCCTCTTTTTTTATTCTATCCAACTATCAACTATAACTCTTTTTCCTTATCCTCACCACTAAGTTCTCTTAGTTTTCTGGAAGCCTTTCTTATAAGTCGATAACCAGTTAACACTTTAGGTGCATTTTAGCATTTTATCCAAATAATAAGTTGTTATTTCATCACCTTAGTGATGAAATTATTAGAAATTATTTTATGTTGCCCAAGGGAGGAATTTAGGTGGAGGCTGTTTTGATGAATTTCCCTCTAATATTTAGTAAATCAGTGAAACAGAAATTCCCTTTTTCATATTGCAGAGTTGGAAAATACTTGAAAGTGATGAATTGGAGAATGTGTGGTTTACATGACAAGCAGTTCCACCTCATCTCATGCCTCTCACAACAAGCTGGTCCTCAACCTTGTTGGGAGAAAATTCTCAGCTGAATCAAGCCTGAATGGGTTTGCTGGGGCTGGGGAGTGGCGGATAGCAAAGAGAAGCAGTTTTTCTCTTTGGGTTAGAAGTGCAGTGAAGTTTTCTCCTCTCTAGAACTTTTGATTTGCATGTGGATCTTGTGGAAGATTGGGGGATCCTCTGTAGCAGCTAAAAGAGTGGGCAAAACGAGCAAAGAGAGAGAGAGAGAGAGAGAGAGAGAGAGAGAGAGAGAGAGAAATGACCAGTGAAGGAGTGGAAGGACAATCACATAAAACTGAAGGCCAATTTCTGTATACCAGAAGCAATCTTGTGTTTAAATTTCCTTTTGTCTAAAATCAAAGTTGTTAATACAGTCTGCCTTCTAGTCTTTTGTTTATGTAATTAAACTATTGTCTGAAAACCTAAATTATTTACAAGATTTTGTAGTTCTTAATATTTGTTCATCAAATTTCAGCACATCAGATTCAAGGAGTAAACAAAGATACTGTGTTGTGTGTGTGTGTGTGTATGTATATGTGTATATATATACATGCATGCACGCATGCATGCATGCATGCTCTGTGCAAGACAGAAAGTTTCAGTACTTAGAACAGTAGTAACTATTTGTGCCACTTGCCCCCAAACTGTGATCACAAATATAAACTGAGAAAGAAAGTAGGAGCTTTGCAACCATTTCTGAATAGATAGGGAGAGAAATCCAAAACCTTTTCCTGCGTATGTATGCTTGTACACAATGACAATTTATTGGCCTTCCGCCTGTTTTCAAATGCTGTGCTATGGCCAGAACAGGGTGGATATTTCAAGAATTGCTCTATCAGACAAGACAAGACTGAGACACTGATTAAAAGCAAATCCTCTGTAGTCGGTCATTAAAGGGTTTTTTTAAAAAGCTGAAATTCTTAGGAAATCTATAAGAGATGCAGAAACTGTTGTGCGTCTTATAAGGATTTTTAGCAAGCAAGTGATTTTGCTTCAAGATATGCATATTTTGTCTGGATGCTAAGAATCTCCCTCCTCATATTTCAGGCTGATATGACTTCTCCTGGAGTCCAGAATTTTGTGCATGATTGCAACACCGATATATTTGTCTCCCTTTGTCTCTACAAGCTATAACCAGGAGGCATTTTTTTGCTATTGTTATCACACTGATTGAGAAATATATAGGGCGTCCCTCCCTTCTTTCCTTTGAGCAAAATATTCTTATTCCTGGCAAATTATATTTGTGGTGAGTGGATGTCTTCTCATGCAGTCTTCTCATGCAGTCTCAAACATTTGGCTAGTCATATGGTTGGATAAATGGATGAGTGTTTTATCCATGACATTACACAGCATATTTATTCTAGGCAGCAAAGCAAGACGTTGTGGAGGGAGACAAGGATAATGCCGCATTTAAAGTCACTGAGATTAGAAATAAAATGGTTTTAGTGTGGATTAAATAATTAGTGGATTTCACTGACATAAAATTGCTCTAAAGAGTAGCGCTAGATAGTAGCTACTTTGGCTAGTCTTTATGTGTTGGTCTCAAGAACCTGCATGTATGTCAGAAGAAATTGATCTGCCATACATTTTTCAATCTGAATGTCAATAAACAATCGTCAGTGACGCTGGCTGGGAATTTTGGGTATTGCCTTTCCAGCGCATTTGAAGGGTGACAGGTTGGGGAAGGATGATTTAAAATAATTACCTCTCAGACGTAGGTTCTCATAGAGTAGCTTGTATCACGTGGGTACGCCAGAATGGTATAGTAGCTGATTGTGCTGGACAGGAGCTAAATATATAAGACTTATTCAAATTTGCATTCAGCTGTCAGTCTTACTGCAAGGCCTTAAGAGTAATCAGTGGCTAGATGCACATAATGCTAAGCTGAAACAAACAAGCCATATGATATGACTTAGGTGAATTGTGAACACAACCACTGTGGC